CAACGAATCAGCGTGCCATGGTTTCTTTGTTTCATGACATGATCCATCATGAGATCGAAGTATACGTCGATGATATGATTGCAAGGTCCCAAACGGAGGAGGAACACCTTGACCATCTATAGAAGTTGTTTGACCGGTTGAAGTTGTACAAGCTGAGGTTGAACCCGAACAAGTGCACCTTCAGGGTGAGGTCTGGAAAGCTACCAGGTTTCGTCGTGAGCGACAAAGGTATTCAAGTGGACCCTGCCAAAGTGAAAGCCATACAAGAGATGCCAGTTCCCAAGACAGAGAAAGAGGTCAGAGGCTTTCTAGGACGGTTGAACTACATTGCCCGATTCATCTCACATCTAACTGCTACCTGTGAACCGATCTTCAAGCTACTGAAGAAAGATCAAGTAGTACGTTGGAACGATGAATGTCAGGCTACTTTCGAAAGAATCAAAGAGTGTCTCTAAGAGCCACCCATTCTTATTCCACCGATTGAGGGGATACCTCTAATCTTATACTTGACAGTACTTGACAACTCAATGGGATGTGTGCTGGGGCAGCATGACGAGTCTGGCCGAAAAGAGCACGCCATTTATTATCTTAGCAAAAAGTTTACCGACTGTGAGACCCGATACTCACTGCTCGAGAAAACTTGTTGCGCTTTGGTATGGGCTGCTCGCCGGCTGAGACAGTATATGTTGACTCATACTACTCTGTTGATTTCAAAAATGGATCCAATCAAGTACATCTTCGAAAAGCCTGCCTTGTCCGGAAGAATAGCAAGATGGCAGATGATCTTGACCGAATATGACATCCAGTACACAACTCAGAAAGCAATCAAGGGAAGTGTGTTGGCAGACCATTTGGCACATCAGGCAGTGGATGATTACCAGTCAATGAACTTTGAATTTCCAGACGAGAATATCATGGTGGTGACTGATTGTGAAGTACCTGGACCGGATGAAGGACCTGAGGAAGGATCCTGATGGTCTATGCACTTTGACGGAGCCTCAAACGCCTTGGGTAACAGCATTGGCGCTGTGATCATATCTCCAAAAGGCTCTCATACTCCACTTACCGCCCGACTGTGTTTCAACTGCACCAACAACATGGCGGAGTATGAAGCATGCATCATGGGTCTTCGAGCTGCAATTGACCTAAGGATCAAGTTTCTAAGTGTCTTCGGAGATTCCGCTCTCGTGATCAGTCAGATCAAAGGCGAGTGGGATAGGAAACACCTAAATCTCTTTCCTTACAAGGAGTATGTATTGACGTTGACCCCCCATTTCGAGGAGATAACCTTTGAACACTTCCCAAGAGAGGAGAATCAGTTGGCGGACGCGTTAGCTACGATGTCTTCTATGTTCAAAGTCAAATGGGACAACGAGGCTCCCCGGATCATCATCTGGAAGTTGGATGAACCTGTACATTGCTGCGATCTTGAGACCGAAGAGGTAACAGAAAAGCCGTGGTATCATGAAGTAAAGAGGTACTTGGAAGCCCAAGAATACCCCGAGGGCGCATCTGTTAATGACAAGAAGTTTCTGAGAAGGTTCGCGGCAAAGTTCTTCCTCAGCAACGACATTCTTTACAAACGAAACCATGATTCAACTTTACTGCGTTGTGTGGATAAGACTGAAGCAGAAAGGATCATGGCCGAGCTGCATGAATGTATCTTCGGAACGCATTCCAGTGGACATACCATGGCAAAGAAGATCCTTCGGGCAGGATATTACTGGTCCACAATGGAAGCCGACTGATATCAACATTCTCGGACATGTCACAAGTGCCAGATCTATGTTGATAAGGTGCATATTCCTCCAGTTCCTCTAAACGTCTTGACAGCACCTTGGCCTTTTGCAATGTGGGGCATTGATATGATCGGCGAGATCAGACCTACGGCATCCAACGGGCATCGATTTATCCTGGTAGCAATTGATTACTTTATGAAGTGGGTTGAAGCAGCTTCCTTTGCCACCGTAACCAAGAACGTCGTGGCACGATTCATTCGGCATAACCTGATCTGTCGCTACGGTGTACCAGAGAGGATCATTACGGACAATGGTACCAATCTTAACAACAAGATGATCACTGAGCTCTGCGAGCAATTCAAGATACAGCATCATAATTCTTCTCCTTACCGGCCGAAGATGAATGGGGCTGTAGAAGCAGCTAATAAGAACATCAAGAAGATTGTGCAGAAGATGACAGTGACCTACAAAGATTGGCACGAAATGTTACCATTTGCTCTTCATGGGTACCGTACCTCAGCACGGACGTCAACAGGGGCAACACCCTTTTCCTTGGTATACGGCATGGAGGCAGTCTTGCCCATTGAAGTTCAGATACCCTCTCTCCAGATAATGAAGGATGCAGGTTTGAGCAAAGACGACTGGATCCAGACCCGGCTTGATCAACTAAACTTAATCGACAAAAAGAGACTCACCGCTATTTGTCATGGTCAGACGTACCAAAAACGGATGATCAAGGCATTTAACAAGAAAGTCAGACGATAAGAGTATCAAGTCGGTGACCTGGTAATCAAGCGCATCATCCTACCTCAAGGTGATCCCAGGGGCAAATGGACCCCTACGTACGAAGGGTCATTTGTGGTTAAGAATATCTTCTCAGGAGGAGCTATGATTCTAACTACCATGGATGGTGACGACCTTTCTCACCCCGCCAATGCAGACATAGTAAAAAGATACTACGCATGATTAAAAGACCTGCTAGGTCGACTGGCCTAGGCAAAAATAAGGGCTTCTCGGCAAACCAAAAGGGTTCGGGCAAAAATAAGGGATGAAAATGAAAAAAATCTGTACACCCGACAAGTCGAAAACCTGAAAAGGCGGCTTGGGCAAAAATGGGTATCCCGGTGGACTGAAAACCCGAAAGGGCGGTCCAAGCAAAAGTTAGGGATAAGCATAATACTATGTCTCATTGGATCACCCTGCATCCAGACTTCGGTATCGACCGTCAGGCTCAGACGGCACCAATCAATCAGCTTCATCTCCAACTAAGCAGCAAAGTGATGAGACGCTTGAAGACATAAAGGCGATAGCAGAGTTGGAACCCAGTGGGACTTTTCACATAGCTGTTTTGTTTCTTTTCACAAATTGTATAAACTCTATTTTATTCGGCGGCGTTCTCTTACTAGGACGCCAGCCTCTTGTACAAAAAACGCCTATTTACAGGCAAATTTCAAAATCAATACAAGCTCACTTTTCCAGACAAATAGCAAATTGTTTTTCCTTTATCTGTTTTGTTTTGCAAAGAACGTCCAATGTTCATTTTTGATATATGCATTTGACATTAATTGCTGATCATAAATATTTGCATGCGAAACAAAGGACTAATTACAGGTGACACCAGAAACAGGGGCAATAAGAATTGTCTAAGCGATCTAGTTGCTCTGTCCACCAAGGTGTCAAGGTAGGTTCGGCTGAAGAACATGACCAAGATACCTTCACTCTCCGCAGAGTAAGACAAGTCAGCAATACTCTCCCCAAGTAGAGTTGGTCTCCCAGCAGCCCTAAAAAGGCACAGTATCCCCAGCAAGTCAGCAATACTCTCTCCAAGCAGAGTTGGTCTCTCATCGGCCCTAAAAAGGCACAGTATCCCCAGCAAGTCAGCAACACTCTCCCCCAAGCAGAGTTAGTCTATCATCAAGTTTGGTATCCCCAGAAGATCTTAATATTCCCCAGCGGAGTATACAGATATTCCTCAGCAAGCATCCCCGACAGTCTTAATATTCCTCAACGGAAATAAGATTATTCCCCGACGGAATACAGACACCCCAGTGGAGCCATTTCCCCAGTACAGTTCAAAAATTTCCCTAGGAGAGTTGAATCATCTCCCCAGTAGATTCCGGAAGCTTGTCCCCTGCAGAGTACAAAAATCTCTCCCCAGCCATATTCAGGAGATTATCCCCCACCAGAGTCTAACTGGGTTATCCTCAGCAAATTGCAACGGAAAGATCGTCCTCAGCAAAGTTCTTTCTATCCCCAGCGGAGTTCATCATCAAGTTCCCCAACAGAGCTTATCAACGGAATCCCCAGCGGAGTTATCGTTAAAATCTCAGCGAAGCATCTCTTCCCACAGAGTAATTCCCCGCAGAGTAATCTCTTCACCAGGTTTATCCCCAACAGAGTCATCTTCTCCTATCAGGTTTATTCTTGCAATCATCTTCGTTCATCCTCCCCAGCAGAAACGAAGAACTCTACTCTTCAACATCAGCCCAGGATTTAACAAACTCCCCGGCATTTGTCAAGGATTTATTTTCCCAGACGAAAATACATTCATAAACATTGCACATCTCATACCCCCTATTTACATACATGATACACTATAAGAAAATTGGCAGATTGCGACATGTATTTTTGTAGATTACGACGGTTAAAACCATCGCAATTTGCTTTCCACGACGGTTGCTTTACCGTCGCAGAAGTGTGTGTCCCCAACCTATTTCGCGATGGTTACAAAAACTGTCGTTCAAGTTTACGACGGGTTGATACCGTCGTGACTATCTTTTGAGTTTCTTTTAATTATTGATGGCGACGGTTCGATACTGTCGTGAATATCTTTTGAAATTGATTAAATTGTTTATGGCGACGGTTCGATACCGTCATGACTTTTGTTGATTATTTTTAATTGTTGATTACGACGGTTCGGTACTGTCGCCATGACTTTTGTTTATGTCTTAATTTTTATTTATTTTTCTATTATATATATTTTTTATTTAAATTATTATCTATGTAAAAAATTTTAAATATAGTTTTTTTTTGTGTTATTTTTTTCTTTAAATTATTTCTTCTTTAATATATTTATTTATAGTATTATTTTTTGTTTTATTTTCTATCACTTTGTAATATAGTAAAAATAATTTCAATAAAAAATATTTAACATCAAATAAGCATTATAATATCCAAAAAAATGTGTGTTCCATAATCATGTAAAATGCGAGTTCCATAATCATTACGTTGCTATCCACCATTCTTCATGAATTTTTGAAGTCAAACGGAAGCATTACGTTGCAAGCTTTGGATCTCGTTCCACGTGAGATCGAAGGAGAAAATTCCACTATTTGGTTGAATTTCTGGAACATTGGAAGTCCGCGGCATAAATTTAGTCATAGCAGTTGTATCTGCCATTAGGTCTGCTGTATTTGAGCAGAATGAAATTCCATCTTTTGTCATTTGAACCGAGCAATCTATAATGTCAGCTCCATCGTCTATTGCTTGTTGATAAGCAAGATTGGTAGAACCTGGATAAACACCACTTGCTCCGTTATTGCTAATGATCAAAGGTTGTCCTGCAAAAAACAAACGCATTAGCATCTTTTTGCATCTTGTTTATAAGGTTCTATGACTGTTGTGAGAAGTTCAAGAATAATACTATTATCTTTTTTCGGCAGTGTATTGTTGAGTGCAAAGCATGCTGAAAAAACAAGAAATTCAGTTCCATATAGCCCAGTTATCTTCTTTTGAACTAGTCTTCTAATAAGCATAGTTTTGAATATCTCTTCACTCTCACCGCAGAAAATGTTAATAAGAAAGGTCTAGTGTTTTCAACTCACCTATAGAATTTGATGCGGTTGAAGGAAAATCAGTAACAAGACCATCAACACATTCGTCTTTCGCTATAAATTGTAGGTACTCAGCAGTAGGATCATAGTTATAATCATAGCTTGAAAAGAAATCATTCGCAAAACCAGAAGCATACACTTCCAGTCCTTGTTTATATGCATCAGATACTAGGGTTGTGAGAGGCCCCAAGTAATTGTCTGGTTTAACTGGCCATATGTATTCTTTCGGCACTATTATACCAGATGCATATGACTTGATTGCCGCAAGATCTTTCACAATGGTGCCATACGGTTGCATTGTTGTTGGTTCGACATCACTTGCGTTAAGAAATTGAAAGACGAACTTTGTTTTCTTCCTAACTTTCTCATTGACACTTGTTAAGAAACCGATCTCTGGAGATGAAATAAAGTCTATAGTATAAAGTCTCAACATTTCTAGTACTTTATCAACTAGCTTTACGTCGTGTTGGTCATAAAATGCTTGGTACTGCAACAGAACAATCAATTTAAAAATAAGAACTGTGTATAAAATGATTATGCGTCACGAGATAGAGATGGAGAGAACCTGAAAATTCAACCAAACCCTTGGTGGAGTTTTGCTACTTAGAATACCATCAACATTGAGTACGGGAGATAAGCCGTCGTAGAAACTTGGACGCGAATAAAGTAACACTTCAACAAATAAAAAACTATCAAAACAAAAAACAAAACCACAAAAGAAAATATTAAAAGGATTATCATATAACTATAAGACATAGTGTATTTAATATAGAAAAACATCCATTTTAGTACCCAGAACACACAACCCCAACATAAAACATATTCATAAACAACCATTAAAGAAAGTATGTGTTCAGAACCATTGATGCAGAAATGTTATATCATAAGCATTTATGCATAAATGAGAAGAAGCTTGAAAAGTTAACCTGAGATTTAAGAAAACGAGAAGAAGCCCTCTAGATATTATTATTGCATTACAAAACCAAAAGAACATAAACAAACAGAAATCCATCCACCATAAATTGAAATAGAGCTACTTCAAAGTCAATATTCCAATACAGAAAATTGACCCCCTATATACGTCAGAGAGACATATTGGGATGCATGATAAACAACAACATCATAATTATAAACTAAAAATACAATAATCATTAAAACTAAAAATACAAATACAACAACAATCACAACTTAAACCAAAAGCAGCAGATAAAAATCAGATCACGATGTGAAGAGGGAAATCCATCCTCAATACCATTTTAAACTTCAGTAAAAATGCAGAAAACTTCATAACTAAAGAAGTTTCATGCCTTGATTGTTACACTGCACAAGCACATACCAGATGGCCTTATGTCTGAAGTTTGCCATTCTGATCCCAAGGCGGCATTTGGATCATACAACAGTGTTTGATTAGTAGGTTCTTTTTCAACTGGAAATAGTAACAGCTTTCCGTCTAGTACGCCGAATCGAAAGCCAACACTCGAGCTCCCTGTCAATGGGACGGGTACCATTGTCCATGAGTTGTTTTCTGGACTGAATATTGCCAGCTTCCGCTGGTTCTTCCACTCAATACAGAACAACTTCTTTTCCAATACTGCGTGAGCAGTGACCATAACACAGCCATTCTTAATGTCGTAGAAACTTGGACGTGAGAATAGACTCTACCATCTTAGAAATTGAATTGAGTTTAACTCAACCTTTTAAAACCAGCTTGTAAGATGTAGATTGTCCCTACTTATAAACATATATTCAAGTCATCTTTCATTGTGGTAAACCATGATGTGGTATTATCTATGTATTCACTCACACCTCGTGATAAATGGTATGAAAGGGTGAAATTCCAACAGTTTGCTAAAAGTGGTTGTTTATATGAATGTCGCTAACAACAATTCACAACTCCAAGCAAAAGTACACTTACACAACTCTCCCATCATTACAATCAACCACACATTCAATAATTCGCAAGTGTATAAATATTTAACTTTATCAACACTTAACCTGAAGCTCAACGATAACCTCCACAGAGCTATTAGCTGCATTATTCTGGGATGGTACTTCATGCACTCTACCTCTCGGAGATATTTCCTGAGGACTTTCAACTGATTGTTCCAAATAGACATGGTCATCATTTAAAGCTGAATAACTACTATTTGCCCCAAGAAAAACACAAGAATCCAAGTGCTGTCCACCCTGCAAACAGATAACCAAGGAAATTAGTTTGGGCATGCATCGAAATCTTAAATTCATAGAGTAGTCAGAGAACAAAATGGATAAAGTGAGGCACTGAAACCTTAATAACAACATTTCTAAATTGCAATTTTTTCCCATTTCCAATATAGATTATAGCCTCTGAGCTAGCTGATGTAAGATTCAAACCCCGCCCATCTTTTAAATATAGAATTCCACCATCCCCATCATAAATGAAATGATCAAAATTTTCATCATCAACTATTAAAGGCTTTTGAGGTGAGAGGGAAAATTCAGCACAAGGTTGCTTGTAGATAGACTGATCTATGATGATTGCATCCAGCATGGAGGAATTGTGTTCTTCAAATGATAGCATACTGCTGACTGTTGGAACAAAAAACTCAACTACAGCAAGAAGAAAATCTAGTGCAACAAGTAACTGAGGTCTCTGGATACACACAGAAACAAATGTTGAATCCGGACCAAATTTCATATCAACAATGAGCATTGTTTGAACTGGTTCAAAATTATTCCCTTTACTTGAGCTACTATCAATTGACTCCTGATTTTCATAATACGACAGTGTACTTGGAGGACTGGCTCCAATGCTCTCAGGCTTTCCTATTGCTAACCAAAATCCTTGTTCAACTCCTTCCCGGTCATCAAAAACACTGAAACCTTGTAGTGTTGCAGAAAGGAATCCATTTCCTGCTGTACTGGATTTGTACAGTAGCCATGCACTGCTGACCTGCACAAGAGAAACAAGAGTAGAACAATTTAATAGTTAATTGTACTATCATCCTTCATCATTTGATTGCGGGTATGGGGCAGGTTAAAGTATTGGATAATGTAAATGCATCCATAGTTGCTTTAATCAAAATAGTATAAGTTATAACATTTGGCCTACAATTATCTTTCAACAAGTGATCCATAACCCTTAAAGCCAAATCAAGTTTACCCCTCCCACAAAGACTCCCAATGAGAATATTATAAGTAACAACATCAGGTAAAAAACCTCTCTTTTTCATTCTATCAAGCACCTTATTGGCAGCATCAACTATATCAGCTTTACAGTACCCATTTAAAAGTGCTTCATACGCAAAAACATCAGCCTGGCTGTGCTTTTCCAAAATCTCCATGACCCGAATAGCTTTCTGGGTTTTCTTAGAATTGAAAAAACCATTAATCAATTTAGTGCAGAGAATGGCATCAGGTTTATAACCCCTGTCAACCATGCGCTTAAGAAAGCGGAGAGCTCGATTGTACTTAGCTGATTTGAATGACCTAATGAGAGCTTCATCGTAATCTTGATCAAGTTTTGGCCTTGTTTCATTGACCCTGATTCTTGTTCTTCGGTTGTTGGTGTTGCCTGGGGTTGAGGAAGTGACGATAGTGTTGGGATTTGAACGGCGAGAAGTGCGGTTTGGGTGGTTTCTGAAATTGAGAGTGTGTGATAAGAATTCAGTTGAAAAGGTTGTCATTGATGATGACGATGATGTTATCGGTTGTTGTTGGAAGATTTATGGCTTGAGTTTGGACAAAATTCAGTATCATAGAATGGATAAGGGACGATACATATTTTATCCTAACCAAATATTATCCTAAAAAATCATTAAAAGAAATAAAACCCTAAAACAACAAATTAGAAAACCTAACATCAGAATTTTTAAAGGTTTTGGGTGCGACGGTTGTTTTACCGTCGTGAAATGAATTTTAGGACGGATAATTTTACCGTCGTGAAAGGTTTAAGGGTGCGACGGGTGCTTTACCGTCGTGATATGCCTTTTAGGACGGTTAATTTTACCGTCGTGACTAGTTGTTGGTGAAAAATCAATGTTAAAAGTGTTAAATGGGGGCCGACGGTTGTTTTACCGTCGTAATAATAATATTATGATGGTTAAATATACCGTCGCAAAATAAATATTAGGGAAGGTTGGTGTCAACTGTCGTAAACACTGTCTCTATATGTCAATTACGACAGTTATCACATAACTGTCGCAATTTTTGTGTCGTTAAACACTAATTTTCTTGTAGTGATAAAGTGCATACGACACGATCTCATTTATTTTTAGAACATCATGACATCATGCATTTCATACATCATGACATTGCATACAACTGATGTTTTGCCTTTTCAGGAAAAAGTCAATCAAAAGATGATTACCATCAACTTTTGCAGTTCCAGATTAACACCTGTATCTAGCCAGGAAATATCTGTGAGCGACTGATTATAGATCTATACCTGAAACCAGACATGAAAGTTATCTACATTGAAGAGATTGAAGATCAATACCTGTAGCAAGCCAGGAAATCATATTTCTTTCTCAGGTCAGAGAGTAATACCCAAAACCAGCCAGGAAAGCTATCTCATCGGCCATCCTTCTTAAGTTCCAGATCAACACCTGTATCTAGCCAGGAAATATCTGTGAGCAATTGATTGTAGATTCGATACCTGTATCTAGCCAGGAAAGTTATCTACATGAGGAGATTGAAGATCAATACCTGTAACAGGCCAGGAAATTATCTTTCACTCTCAGGTCAGAGATCTACACCTGTATTCAGCCAGGAAAGCTATCTCGACCAACCTTTTTTTAAGTTCCAGATTAATACCTGTATCTAGCCAGGAAATATCTGTGAGCGACTGATTGTAGATTCGATACCTGTAACTAGCCAGGAAAGTATCTACATGAAGAGTTTGAAGATCAACACCTGTAACAGGCCAGGAAATTATCTTTCACTCTCAGGTCAGAGATCTACACCTGTATCCAGCCAGGAAAGCTATCTCGACCAACCTTTTTTTAAGTTCCAGATTAATACTTGTATCTAGCCAGGAAATATCTGTGAGCGAATGATTGTAGATTCGATACCTGTATCTAGCCAGGAAAATTATCTACATGAAGATATTGAAGATCAACACCTGTAACAGGCCAGGAAATTATCTTTCATTCTCAGGTCATAGATCTACACCTGTATCCATCCAGGAAAGCTATCTCGACCAACCCTTTTTTTTAAGTTCCGGATCAACACCTGTATCTAGCAAGGAAATATCTGTGAGTGATTGATTGTAGATCTACACCTGTAACTAGCCAGGAAAGTTATCTACATGAAGAGATTGAAGATCAACACATGTAACAGGCCAGGAAATTATCTTTCATTCTCAGGTCAGAGATCTACACCTGTATCCAGCCAGGAAAGCTATCTCGACTAACTTTTTTAAGTTCCGGATCAACACCTGTATCCAGCCAGGAAAGCTATCTCGACCAACTTCTCTTAAGTTCCAGATCAACACCTATAACTAGCCAGGAAATATCTGTGGACGACTGACTGTAGATTAATACTTGAAACCAGACAGGACAAATATCTACTCGACCATCATAAAGCAACCCAACACCGGTTCCTTCTCTCCCAAGATACAGTTTTACACGGACTCACCATCAGGAAACCCTACACAGGTTCCTTCTTTAAACCTACCAAGTTACAATTCAACAAACAATTCCCAGATGGCATCTTTAAGCCCATCTCCACAATTATCCACTACATTTCCAGATGGCATCTATAAGCCCATCCCCGACAAGATTCTGTCACATTTCCAGATGGCATCTATAAGCCCATCCTCCTATCCATCATCTCTCCAAATGGAATCTGTAAGCCCATTCCCGACATCACATTGCTGATATCATACTATGCGAGTGCAAATTTCTGGGCACTTTAGTGTTCAATCATCTTCCACCTTCGGATCACGAAAGGCACGCAAGCCAATCTACATCCTCAGGTTTAAGAAGATTGAACAGGGGCAACTGTTGTACCCCAAAATTTAGCCTCCCATATTCCTCAATATTTGTCAAGAATAATCTTCAAATTGGTCAAGATTGCTCAAAGGGTTGTACAGTCAAACCACCTCCTAAGCCAGCTGAAATTAGGGTTTTGGTTCTTTTAAGGAATTTAAGGTTTTCAATGGTTCAATCAAGTCTCATAGGCCTATACATGTTCTCAAGTACCTACATGCCAAGTTTCAAGACTCACAGTGTCAATTTGCACAATCAAAAGCTTCATTTGACCTACAGTCAACTACAAGGGCAAAATGGTCATTTTGCAATCAAAAGCCAGAATTTTTGGTCAACATCTTATTTTGAGTCCGCAATCATCATTTGATCAAGTCTTGATCATGATTCCATAAGCATGGCTCAAAAATCATCAAGATGCAAAAAGTTACTATTTTTGGACAGTAGAAAAGTCAACTGTATCTTTACTAGAGCATAACTTTTTCATGGTTTGTCAGAAAAATCCCATCCAATGCTCATTTTGAAGGGGATGACATTTCCTGAAATCCATCTTCACATTCCAAGTCCAATAAATGCTCTCACAAAAAGTTATCAATTTCTACATTATAGGTCAATTTCAAAAGTCAACAAAAATGCACTTTAAGTCAAAGGCCATAACTTGAGATTGGTAAATCCAAATGACATGGGACCAAAGGCATTGGTTAGAGGACTTCAATACCTTTCCAAAATGTCCAATAACATGTTCATATTATCAAAATTGAGCAAGATATGCATTGGAGAAGTTGGGAAATATTTATGAACTTGCAAAAGTCAACTTTGCTCAAAACACCTTGTTTTTGCTAATGGGCCTCAAATTTCTTCTTGAAACTTTATCCATGGCCTATGCACGACCCATCAAGCTTAATTGAATTATTTTCTTATTTTTTATTAATTAATTGGATTTTTAATCAATATTAATTCATTTAATTAATTTAAATTGTAGGAAATACAAGATCTGATTTTTTCAATCTTTTTGTGAAGCAAGAATGACCTAAAAAGGCTGGCAATTTCGTGCACCAAGTCAAAGATGCCATATCTCCCAAATTGGCAACTTTTTCCAATCATGAAGATTCAAAAAGATGTGATTTCCAATCAAATATTCAAATCATCATTCAATGGATTTTTGCTCAAAGATTTGACCTAATTTCAATCTCCTATATATACATAAGCTAACCCTAATCATGCACACGTAAACAAGCTGCAAACAAAGCCATAGCCATATTGAAATTTTCCAAGAAAACTTGAAAACTGATTTCTATATTCCAGGACGATTCAAGAAATTTTATTGATTCTAATATACTGCAGGGGATCCCAGGAACGTGTAGCAATTAAATTCACACGCTAAAGCTCAAGAAATCATCACTTACAGTCGCACGGTTTGACACTTTTTTTCATAATCGTAACTCATGATTCATAAGCATTTAACATGATTTCTTGATCATTTTGTGTTGCTAGGGACTGTACAAAGCTAATGGCATAGTTTAATTGCATTGAAACACCATAAATCAAAAGTTACCATGGATGAATTCTAGGGTTCTTATGCTGTGAATTTAGGGCTTTGCAGTACAAGAAAAATTAAGCCTTGTGAGACCCATGGTTGGAATCGTTGAGACCAGACGAATCCAAAGCAACCATCGTGAAATATTTATGTAGCATGTAGCTCTAGTCGCTATTATTCGTCATTGCATATTGTGGGGGTTAAAAACCCCCGCTATCTAACGTTGATTTTACAGGTTCAGCGAGGAAGATGATGAGTTGTTGATGTCTCATTGGTCAGTTTGAAAAACGCGCGTGTTTTTTTGTGCTAACAGCATATGAGTTGATTTGTATATATTATAATTGATTGTTATTATATTATCAAAAGCAAGCAGTTGGTTGGAGTGGTTGGGCGCTTGTCCAATAAGCATTGGGACCTGGGTTCGAATCCCAGGTCCCCCAAAATACTTGATATTATTTTTCTTAACATGTTCTCATGCAGGTTTCAAAAGGATGTCCACCATGCACTTTCAAGTCCCAGGCGCCAAGTGGCTTGCAGGAACAAATCTAATGGTCAGGGTTGAATGATCATGGTACTCCCAGTCAACCAGGCGCATGGAGGAGTCAGAAAGTCAAACAGGCTTACAACTTGATGGGCCTGAAAATTACTTTCTCACCTCCAAAGCTGGCCCATCACCCCCTGGTTTCTTTATTCTTTTTCTTTGATATTTTAATTTCTATTTAATTGTTTTACTAACTATTATTATTATTATTATTATTATTTAATTAACATAATTAATTATTTTCATAATAAAATCAGAAAACTAAAATATTTTTATTTTCACTTTTAATTTATTATTTTTGTAAATAAATGTAATTAATTAATTTAGTTGTTTTAATTAGGTTAACTTTAATTATTTTCATAACAAATAAAATAAATTAGAATTAGGGTTTTCTTGACAATTTTAATTTCTTTTATTTTATTTTCATTAAAAACATAAAAAACTTAAAAAATATTTCTTTTATTTAATTAATTAGAATTAGGTTTAATTAAATGCAAAAAGGATCAAAATTTCTTTATTTTCTCAAATAAGGGTCAAAACCCTAAGGACTTCTCTGATGCAATTTCTTTTCGCGCATAATATTTTTGATCATATTTATGTAATTGCTCCGAGGATGTAATA